AATTTGGGAGTTTTTAGGGAAAAAACAGCGCGATTTGGGAGGTTTGGAGGCTTTTTGGCCTTGTGAGGCTTCCGTACAAAATGGCGGCGCGCGGTGAGGGTTCCGTACAAAATGGCGGCGCCCCTGTGGAGCGGACAAAATGGCGGCGCGCGGTGGAGTTTCCGTACAAGATGGCGGCGGTGCACGGAAAAAAGCGGGGAAAAAACCGGAAAAACCACAAAAAATAAGAAAAAAACCCAAAAAAACCCCCAAAAAAACCCCCAAAAATCGCGAAAAATCCCCTAAAAAAACCCCCAAACCCTCCCGAAAAGACATAAAAAACCGCCCCAAAATTCCCGAAAAAAACTTTAAGAAATCCACAAAGAAATTTCCAAAATAACCCCCAAAAAATTGTAAAAACAAAATGTGAAAAGCACAAAAGAATCCTAAAAAAACTTCAAAAAAACAGCGAAAAATCTGCGAAAAAAATTTAGAAAACCCCTCAAAACCGCAGAAAAATCCTAAAATCGCCGAAGAAATCCCGAAAAAAAAATTCCACAAAATCATCAAAAGAAATTTAAAACCCCCCCGGAAAAAAACTGCAAATAAAACCCCAAAAAATCCCCTCCTAAAAAATGGGAAAAAAAACCCCAAAAGGACACAAAAAACCTGGAAAAAAACCCCGAAAAAAAAGGAAAAATAAAACCAGAAAATTCCAAAAAGAACCGAAAATTCCCCCTCAAAATCGCCCCAAAAATCCCAAAAGAAACCACTAAAAACACCCCTAAAGAAACCAAAAATCATCCAAAAAAATCCCAAAAAAACCCCTAAAAAGTCCTTAAATTTCAAAATTCATTTAAAAAAATAAAATTTCACCCTCAAAACCCCAAAATCCCCTCAAAAAACTCACCCTGAAAAGGTTTCGAAAATATAAAACAAAAACCGTCCAAAATCGGCGCGAAATCGCTTCGGGTTTATATTAAAAAAAAACCGAAATGAAATAATTATAATTTATTAAAAATACATTAAAATATATTTTAAAATGATTAAAGCAGATTAAAATAGATTAAAGTATATATTAAAGTAAAATAAATATTAAAATAAAATCGCCGCCGTTCCGTACAAAATGGCGGAAACTCCGTGAGGACACCAAAATGGAAGCCCGTGAAGAGGAAATCTCGCGAGAGTTCAAAARAAATGGCGCCGCGCACTGGTTTTGCCGTACAAAATGGCGGCGCCCTTGTGGAGAACTCCGCACAAAACACCGGAAGAAGGAAATGGCGTGAGCGTGCGGCGTTGCGTCACTTCCGGGCGTGGCAAAGATGGCGGCGCGCAGGATCCTCCGGCTCGGTTCGCTCTCCGGTTTTAATTTTTGGGGAAATTTTTTAAATTTTTTGGGGGATTTTTCGATTTTTGGGGATTTTGGAGCTTTTTTTTCG